CCAAAAAGGGGGGGGGGTTTTCAACCCGCGGGGGGGGGGGGGAGTCCATATTAATGTGTTTGGGTTTTAGCCAACAAACTCATATAGGTGTGATGGCCTGGTGTATATATACTTTTGGCCATATTGTATATGTCCAAAGAATGGAGCGGAGTTCTTCAACAGAGCAGAGTATTTCAGGAGAGGAGAGTTATAGAGGAAGGAGCCGAGTCCTCCAGCAGAGCAGAGTATTTCAGGAGAGGAGAATTATAGAGGAAGGAGCCGAGTCCTCCAGCAGAGCAGAGTATTTCAGGAGAGGAGAATTATAGAGGAAGGAGCCGAGTCCTCCAGCAGAGCAGAGTATTTCAGGAGAGGAGAATTATAGAGGAAGGAGCCGAGTCCTCCAGCAGAGCAGAGTATTTCAGGAGAGGAGAATTATAGAGGAAGGAGCCGAGTCCTCCAGCAGAGCAGAGTATTTCAGGAGAGGAGAATTATAGAGGAAGGAGCCGAGTCCTCCAGCAGAGCAGAGTATTTCAGGAGAGGAGAATTATAGAGGAAGGAGCCGAGTCCTCCAGCAGAGCAGAGTATTTCAGGAGAGGAGAATTATAGAGGAAGGAGCCGAGTCCTCCAGCAGAGCAGAGTATTTCAGGAGAGGAGAATTATAGAGGAAGGAGCCGAGTCCTCCAGCAGAGCAGAGTATTTCAGGAGAGGAGAATTATAGAGGAAGGAGCCGAGTCCTCCAGCAGAGCAGAGTATTTCAGGAGAGGAGAATTATAGAGGAAGGAGCCGAGTCCTCCAGCAGAGCAGAGTATTTCAGGAGAGGAGAATTATAGAGGAAGGAGCCGAGTCCTCCAGCAGAGCAGAGTATTTCAGGAGAGGAGAATTATAGAGGAAGGAGCCGAGTCCTCCAGCAGAGCAGAGTATTTCAGGAGAGGAGAATTATAGAGGAAGGAGCCGAGTCCTCCAGCAGAGCAGAGTATTTCAGGAGAGGAGAATTATAGAGGAAGGAGCCGAGTCCTCCAGCAGAGCAGAGTATTTCAGGAGAGGAGAATTATAGAGGAAGGAGCCGAGTCCTCCAGCAGAGCAGAGTATTTCAGGAGAGGAGAATTATAGAGGAAGGAGCCGAGTCCTCCAGCAGAGCAGAGTATTTCAGGAGAGGAGAATTATAGAGGAAGGAGCCGAGTCCTCCAGCAGAGCAGAGTATTTCAGGAGAGGAGAATTATAGAGGAAGGAGCCGAGTCCTCCAGCAGAGCAGAGTATTTCAGGAGAGGAGAATTATAGAGGAAGGAGCCGAGTCCTCCAGCAGAGCAGAGTATTTCAGGAGAGGAGAATTATAGAGGAAGGAGCCGAGTCCTCCAGCAGAGCAGAGTATTTCAGGAGAGGAGAATTATAGAGGAAGGAGCCGAGTCCTCCAGCAGAGCAGAGTATTTCAGGAGAGGAGAATTATAGAGGAAGGAGCCGAGTCCTCCAGCAGAGCAGAGTATTTCAGGAGAGGAGAATTATAGAGGAAGGAGCCGAGTCCTCCAGCAGAGCAGAGTATTTCAGGAGAGGAGAATTATAGAGGAAGGAGCCGAGTCCTCCAGCAGAGCAGAGTATTTCAGGAGAGGAGAATTATAGAGGAAGGAGCCGAGTCCTCCAGCAGAGCAGAGTATTTCAGGAGAGGAGAATTATAGAGGAAGGAGCCGAGTCCTCCAGCAGAGCAGAGTATTTCAGGAGAGGAGAATTATAGAGGAAGGAGCAGAGTCCTCCAGCAGAGTATTTCAGGGGAGCATTTTATGGTTGAGCGTCTCTGATTTCTAGGCTGGTGCAAGGAAATCAGAAGCAGTAAATATCACTTCCAATGAGGTTTTATCTTTTGATTGACGCACAGATCTGATTGGTCGCTGTGGGACTCTGCCCCACTTTGGCTCGGGCTTTGTTTGCTGTCTCCTCGGGCCCACATGACACTACGCTTTTATATTCAGGCAATTAAACAAAGCACACAGCGAGGGCACGGTGACAAAAGAGATGAATCCGGATTTCGGAGCCAAGATTAATAAACAGGAGGTGAGCGAGGAGGAGGGGGAGCCCCGCACCTCCAGCCTTCCGAGACGGGAAGAGGGACGCATGCAGCCACAATATTTTTTGAAGAAAGGCCACGCCTCCGCCATACCTCCTGGTCACGCTTCCACCACACCCGCTAGTCACGCTTCCATGAGTTCCCCAGAACAGATCATGAACACGGACACGTGTCAGAGACTCGTCTACATCACAAGACAAGAAGAGATGAAACACAGAGGGTCCCGGGTCTGCTGCGAGGAGCTCCACACCGTCACATCGACCTCCATGGCCACCGCTGGACCATGCTGCTTCCAACAAGCTCACTCTTGGTACCGGGAGGAGGGCTTGCAAGTCAAGCGATAGGGTGGCTGTGGAGCCGCCTGATCGCTGGTACAGGCCTGTAAAGGTGCCATGCCCCCACCGCCGCACCACCTGCCGCGGTGTGCATGCTCCTCCGAGGATCCCAATGCGTGACTTCAGGATAGCGAGCAGGAGCAGATCGAGTCACTTCAGTCAATGAAAATCCCTTCATCGTAACGACCGCCAGCGTCCCTGCGACTCCTGTACACATGTGCGCTTCGTTTCGTTGTAGGGATGCACCGATACCGGTATTTTGGTACCGAGTACGAGTACCGATCATTTTTTTTTCCGGTACTCGCCGATACCAATTACCGAGTAGCGGAAGTCCCATTCAGGAAGCCAGGTGACGTGTAAAGACTCGCCACCCGGCTTCCCGATTAACAAGCAAGCCGTCCCAGCCTGTCCCCTCTCACCTCGGCATGTCTAGCCTGTCACCCCCCGGGGGCCTCTCCAGCCAGCAACGGTCTACCTTCGGTACCCAACCGGAGCCGTCTTGCTGGCCAATCATAGAAGGCGGGCGCCGTGTAATGACGCGGCGCCCTGCTTTCTGACTGGCCGGGAGGCCGGCTCCATGCTCCCTCGTCATGAGATGACGAGGGAGCATGAAGCCGTCTTCCCGGCCAATCAGAATGCCGGGCGCTGCGTCATTGCACGACGCCCGGATTCCTGATTGGCCAGCTTCCCGACCAATCAGGGAGCCGGGCAGCGCATCATTACACGTTGCCCGGCTTCCTGATTGGCCGGGAAGTCGGCTTCATGCTCTCTCATCACAGGTGACGAGAGAGCATGGAGCTGCTTCCCGGCCAATTAGGAAACCGGGCAACGTGTAATGACGCGCTGCCCGACATGCTGACACAGGAAGTATTGGGCCAGGCATCGGAGCATTTGGGCAAGTACGAGTATTTGCCCAAATACTCGGTATCGGCGGCACCGATATCGATACTAGTATCGGTATCTGTGCATCCCTATTTCGTTCCGAATCAAAATTCGGATGAATTTTCTGACATTCGGACACATCCAAATTTCCGAATCCCATTGCATCCGCATGCGTCTGAATCCAGATTTCCATTTCCGAATTTCGGATCCCGTCCGAATTTCATTCAAAAATGAAACTGAATCGGACATGTGACTTTTCCGACCAATCCGATATGTTTTTCGGTTTAATGGCTCCGAATGGGTCTGAACACGAATGTTCGTTT